TCAATCATGGGTAATGGGTACTTATTCTTGACCGTCATCTTGTTCAACTTTCGATAGTCAATACATAGCCTTAGCGACACATCCTTCTTTTTCACAAACAGAACTGGAGCTCCCCAGGGTGAGGTACTATGCCGAATAAATCCTCGATCAAATAATTCTTGTAATTGGACCTTCAACTCCTTAAGTTCCTTTGGAGTCATTCGATAAGGTGCCATAGAAATAGGTGAAGATCCCAGATAAGTCTCAATCTCGAACTCTACCTCTCTATCAGGAGATAACCCAGACAAATCCTCCGGAAAAACATCAGGAAACTCGCTAACTGTACGAATCTCCTCAATCGTGTACAAGGAACCTTTAGTGTTTAAAATACAGACAATGAAAGTCTCATATCCCTTCCTGATCATACGATCAATTTCCATAGCTGAAACAATATTGGAGAGATAGCCACACCGTTCACCAATTAACACAACAGTCCGACCATCTGAAGTCTTCAGAGTAGCTCGCTTGTATGCGTAATCCAGATTTACCTTGTGTTTATTCAACCAATCCATCCCAAGAATTAGATCAAACTCCTCTAAAGGAAGCTCCATAAGATCAGTGAGAAAAATTTCTCCCTGAACCTTCAGAGGACAACGCCGGAATACTTTATTCACTAATACTACATGTCCTACTTGAATCGTAACCGTAACAGTATTATTAGTGTTCTCGATCGGAATCCGAAGGTTTCGAGATAGTGAGCTCGATACATAGGAGTGGGTGGAGCCATTGTCCAGAAATGCAAAGTATGTAATAGAATAACTAGTAAATGTACCTACAATAACCTCAGGCTCATCTTTGTCATCCCGACGTCTAGTGGCGTAAACCAAAGCTGGCTGTCTAGCCTCAGAAACTGTTGGCCCTCTATTCTGCTGAGGTCGGGCTCTACTGTCTGTCCTAGACGCTGATCCACGAGCCTTTCCTTGGCTACGATCTCTAATTGGAGTCTGTACAGTAGTCTGAGAATGCACAGGAGTCTGAGTAGCAGTCCGTTCAAACGAAGCTAGCTGAGGACAATCCCTCCGAAAATGACCACTATATCCACAATGAAAACATGCTTCGGTCTTCCTATAACACTCTCTCGTGTGTCGTTTACCACAAAAGTCACAATGAGGCACTTGAAACGGAACCGAATAACTACCTCTACTAACAGCTGCAGGCCTGAAGCATGTATTGCTTCTCTGAGGGGCTAAAGTATGAGTCCTCTTACTGGACTGTGCGGATGATTCAGTAGGGCCAAAAGATTTCCTAGATCGCTCCTGATCAACACGCTCTCTTCCAGAAGCTAAAGCCTCCATCTCCTTAGCATCATTGGCTCTGCTCACCAGCACATCCCAAAATCTCATCTTGGAGAGCAACAACCTGTCTACGTAGCTCGTATCTGAGTCCGAGGGCAAATTTACGTCATCGATCTCTCTCGGTATGCACTAGACTGATTCTATACTTTAACAATTTCAAGAACTCTATCTCATACTCTGAAACAATCATGTCACCCTGAACCAAGTCTTGAAACTGCTATCGTCTCTGGACTAAGTAACGCTCACCCAGGAATCGGCTCCGAAAGCGCTCCTTAAAGAAATCCCATGTCAAACGATCAGTAGGAACACTACTGGTCACTAACTCCCACCAGGTGTGGGCATTGCCATCAAACATCGCTACTGCCCCCAAATATCTCTTAGTTGAGTCCAAACCCAACTGATCAAAACGTCTCTCAGTATCCTGGAGCCAATCTTTTGCTTCAGTAGGAACTCCACCAAACTGTCCTCCAAAAGTTATGACTCCATTGGCAATCAGAGTCTGAGAAATAGGCACCTCGGATCCAACACCAACCGCTCTAACTGCTCATTGAATCAATTGTAGAAACTGTCTACCAAAATTCTCATCAAATGCAACTCTGGTAGAATCTGGCTCACTATCGGTTGCTCCCCTGATCGATGTAGTCATGCCAATACCAGCGACAGAAGGTAAATTTGTTGGGGTCGCAGGAGCAGGATCATCTGTCGGAGGTGGGGGATATACTCGAATCTCATCGATTTGGTCTGCAAATCTAGCCACTCGACCTCATCCACGACTAGTTCGACGTCCACGCCTAGCACTCATTTTGGTGGATCTCGAGTTTATTACAAAAGATAAAACTTAGGGTTAGATAAGCACTTAGAGTCTCAAACATAGTTAAAACCGTAAAAACTTTGAGAAATGGCCTTAGTAACTTATTTTGTCAAATATTTCAAACCCGTATTTTCAATTTGGACTCATACACAGTCCGAGGTTTAAAAACCAAAAGATCTAATACTAATTAAATGTAACCCCCTAGACCCGACCTATGCATTTCGACTAAGTCTACTGAATCACATTCATGATACTTAAAGACATTTTTCTGAAACCGTTATTCAATCAATGTAAAATCACATTTATAAATGACATTTATGAAATTATAATAAATTATACTATATAAAAAAACCAACTCATAATTATGAGAAAAATAACAAGTTAATTTAAACATGTCTTAAAAATCCAAATTACGATAAACCAATATAAATACCAAAAGAGTAATCATTATAAAATCCAATACTTTTAAAATAAGGCCCATGTTACCAAAATAGAGTTAACTTGAAAGATAAAACATTACAATAAGATATACTTCAAGAGATTTGTTGATCCTCCCAGTGCTCGATCAGGTGTATCTAACCAACAGTATCTGAAAGGGGAAAACATTTTCGAAAAGTGAGCTAGGCTCAGTGTGTCCCAACATTACTATAAAATCATGATAGGTACACTAAACAAATCATAGTCCCATAAATCTCATAAAAATTATACTGCAGTAAATCCCATATAAGAGTTACACTGAGGGAACATCTTAGGGCCTGAGAGCCTACCCAAGATAGATTTCTGGGCCATGGGGCCTACCTAAGAACACATCTTAGGGTTGCAGGGCCTACCCGAGAATGATCTCAGGGCCGCAGAGCCTACCTAAGAGTCACATTAGGTCCGTAAAATTTTCCAGCTTGATCAGAGCTGTACTTTATAAATTCGTATTCCAAAAATTCAATTGCACCGTGACGTAAATTCCATAAATCTGTAAACATGGCAATCATATACCATTTCAAAAAAAATTAGATAGCAGTTATAATCCATAAACCATCACATTAAATCAGTACATCAATAAAACAGTAACCATAGAATTTAGTGTATCACATATTAAAACAAATAAAACATTTCAGTAATAAATAGGGAATACACCTCGATAATAGGTTCAAATAGTAGATCTACTGATTGTTGGTCTCACCACGCTCTGCTACAGTTTTCGAACCTAATTCATAATAACACTATATTACTAATGGGTAACATAATTAATTTCTAAAACCATAAAATTTATGGGTCTTACGAGTGAATAATGGCACACGTGGTTTAACTGATCTAGAGGAGTTGGGTTGAGCTGTCGAACGGTTAGGAGAGTCTCTTGTACCTTCAAACATTAATAATTTATCAGTCTCAAGTCTTACTCGGTCATTCAAAGTTAAAACTCTCAAGTACATAAGCATTTTTCGGGTTTGACAATCAATTTGGAGGCTTCGAGTCTGAATTTGACCAAACGGATTACGGAATCAGAATCAGGACGTCGAAAAACATAAAGTATGACTTTTCAAAAATTTAAATTCTTGGTCAAAATCAAAGTCAACGAGTTTAACTGATGATTTGGAGGCCTTCGGGTTCGAATTTGGTAAAATGGACTTCGGAAACGGATTTGGCACTTTGAAAAATGTCAGAATAGGTATACTCGAACAAAATCAAAGGTCATTTAATGGCCGTTTAAAGCCGGTCAAAGGGGTTCAATAGTCCACATTCGAAACTTACAAAAATATCACTTTTTTAAAAAAATAATTACCAAAAGATCACTGTTTTAAAAATAATTCCCAACATAACACCGGGTCGGGTCGGGTCAACGGTCGGGTCGGGTCAACCCAGTCGGGTCGAGTCAGACCGGTTCAGACCGTTTTGGACTGGTCAAGCCGGTCAACAACATCACCCAACAGTTCGTAACTCCCCCACGCACAGGGGCGGCGCGTGAAGCCTCCTCCGATCTCCAAAAATTCTTTTAAGCGGTTTTGAGTCACTTGCCAATCTCGGTTCAAATTTTTGAACGGTAGAGAGCTCGATTTCAACTCGATCGGAACTTTGACCTCTTCACCTCCCTCACGCGTCGCCGCCTACGGAGACAAGGAGGACACCGTCTGACTCGGAACGACACAAGGAACACGATGGTGCGGGAGGTGTCGAAAACCGATCAACGATCGAAGATGAATTTAAGATTTTCTCGGCGGTGGTGCTAAAAACGTCGAGACTTTGACTCGAAATTCACGTCGTTTGGCAGCGTTTCGCTATAATTGGTTTACTGGGTTTTGATCACGGGTCGAAGATGAACACGATGGTGGTTTCAATTTGACGATCGGATGTCAAATGACGTCGGGATCAGTCTTGAAAGGTTGCAGGAAAGGGAATTTTATGAATTAGTTTTCTGTGTTTTCACGTAGAAACCAATTCATTTCATTTAAAAGAAAAACCTGCCGACATTCAAAAAATATAATTCAAGGTTTGATCATTGAATTTTCTTTAATTTCTAAAATAGACTTTAAATTTTCAAAACTTTCAATTTAATCCTCAAATTTTGCCAAATTACTTAATTAATAATATTTTTTTCTTCAAATTTTTCCGGGTTGTTACACGTTTTCACAAGGACATAAACTAAAATAAACAAGACAAAAGGAATAAACATTAAGTAAATCAAAGTCTAATTCAAAGCTTATAGACAAATTAGCTGGAACATGCAGTCTTTCTTTACCCAAAAATCTCTAATCCAATCTAAAGTGTGAAACGCAGAATATGACGCTTTACTTGCATTGTTTGCATCTTCAGCTGCATACAATAACAAACTCACATTCTTGCCTGTTGAATATGCTGCAAAATGAATGGGGAGGAAAAATGCTTGTTTTTTTTTAATTAGTTTATGAAGATATTGTACACTTGAGGCCCCGAGAACTCGGGCTTCGATATGGTATAACACCGTTTTACATAAACAACCCGCCTTGCCTCCGTTAACAAAGGGTTTGCTTCAGGCAAATTTACCAATTAAATCGATGTCATGATACATGGAGATTTTGAATTTCAACTTGCAGCATCTTAAGTCTTCCCCTTACATTTGATAGTTCATCTTTTACCTCTAGAAGTTTGTCCAGTCTATTTTGTGCAGCATCTCGATAAGGCTCCCCGATAATTCTTACAAACTTTTCCAAGTTCTCAGTGGTTTCTTGAAGATCCTTCTGCATTGCATCTTCAAGCTCTCGTCCTAACACGTCTGCCGTCTTTTTCACCTTTTCTATTATTCCTTGTCTACGGGCTGGGAAGTTCGAAATGGCTATATACCTATCATGGAGAGTATTGAAACAATAACTGATCAAAATCATGAACTCCATTCGGAATAGTTAATGTTAGAAGAGGTTCAAGTCCAATACCATACAGACCTTAAGTCACACAGATTACCAATAATGTTACGAAAACTTGGACAATGCAGCTTGAAGAAATATAATTAATCAAGAAATAAGAATATATGAATACGAGAATTCGAGAATATACATACCCTCCAGCCGAGCATAGGCCAAGAGCAAGAAGATCTTCTAAGGTGGTAGGCAATATAGATGTTAGAAGTGAAGCTGACAAACCGGCTGCTCCGAGTCCACCAAAAGTTCCTAAGAACTAAGGTTGAAAATAAAATAAAATTATTTCAATTCCGGCCAAATGAATCATATGTAAAGAAAGTGCTCTAAGAACAATCAAACAACAGTTGATATGATCTTGGCTTGCATTCAGACATCATAGAGATTACAGCCTGTTACCAATATATTGCTTTACTAGTTTGGACAAGTTCTATTGTTATTTAGAGGAACTCTTAACTCACCGCTTCACGAATTTCACGCTCAAATAGTTTGGAAGCAGCATTGGCACTGATGTTTTGTATCACTCTCAAGCTGAGTTGATCTAGCTTTCTCAGCAGTTCATAGGTCTCCAGTGGACAATGTTTGTCTGAGAAGGTAACAGATGGCCATCTTTTCTCGAACGATTCCTTGTAAAGACTTCCTTCACGTGCATTTTTTGACTGCAACCATGCCACATAGTCTCCAAGCAAGTTCTATATGCAGTTAAATATAACAAATTAAGACATAGTAGAAAATAAAAAGATGGCCCCAATGGCCAACACTAGAAATAGTCATCTGAGTTTCACATGATGTAGACCATGAAGAAGTTTAAGCCATTAACTCACTTGTGCATCAGTAAGTGCAGGATCAAGTATGTCATTTTGAACCCTTGAAGTGGCTGGCAGTGAGGTGGCGGATGATTCCCCCTTGAGTAAAAATGAGGCGACAATATCAATATTTGATAACTGTAAGGTAGATTCTACGAGCTCTAGAATCCGTGATTTCGTAGCATCAATCTGCAATATCAGGCACAAGAATAAATCACATGGATATAGACAAAATCATGTAAGAAACAAAGTCATCTACTAGCCTACTGAAAATATTAGTGCTTCTAAATTTGTACCATTGATAAAGTTCGTCTTCTCCAAGAGATACTTTCATCTTCCATCTTTATCACATACTCTTTCACACTATTAACAATTTCATTTGCAGAAGCCAAGTCCTGCTCTGCAGTCTCACAGCCTTTTCTATTAAGAGTCTCACAAGCAGAGAGTATTCGCTCGGCAATTGCAATTGGTGTTCCAAGTTTGAGCTTCATTCTCTCCATTCCTCTACTAGTTGATCCATCTAAAAAACTATACAAGAAGTCTTCAAGCTTGTAAAAGCTACTGGTTCTCCAATTTGAATCAGTGACTGCTAGTTCCCTATAGTTCGTGCAGCCACTGGAAATAACGTCACATCTTCTGTGTTTAGCAACTTTTGTGTATTCTCTTTGATGAATGAAATTGCTTCCTCTAGCTGCAATAAACAAAGATAACTTATAAGACCTGAAAAGTGTCGTAGTAGGTCAATCCAAATTAAAAGTATCATCAATTATCACAGAGTGTGGCAGGTAAGAATTGAACCTCTTGCACATTCTGATAAAGATCAGCCTTGTTCAACACAAACACGGCTTTCTTCTTCCATTGCTGAGTATAACGAAGAAAAGTAACCTGGAAAAGTAAAAAGAGCACATGCTAGTGGATTCAGCTCACAAAAATTATGAATTGACACATTTTAGTGGGCTAATGTTTATATAACTTTATAAAACTTTTTTTTTGATAGGAAGTTAAGGCCTCGTTAAAAACCCCCTTCATGATTAACGGAACACTGATTGGTGTTCCTTAATCAGCGGAAGGAGGAAAAGAGTGCCTCATAATGAAAAGCGTTTATGTGTTGGATGACATTTCCCAAAGCCTTGTTAAGTTCTTAAACCATTCTTTCATAACTCAACTAAATTCATGCCTTCACTTAATGAACCTTTGGGTTCATATCATAACAATTTCAGAGAAAAATAAGTGTCCAAGAAAAGTCCCTACATATCACATGAAAATACGTTCTATAGAACTTCAAAATTATAGCATTAATTTTTTGTATGGCAATAGAATGCCATACAAAAACTTCTCAAATTCCATATAGAATTAAGTATGGCGTTTCTACACAACAGCAGCATTGATTATGTAAGTGAGTGCCCCAGGAATTGAACTTCTTGCTCCACACGAAAAATTGAGAACAAAAATGAAACATGCTATGCCACATTACATGCACAACTAGTCTTACCTCACTCTCTGTTAGCGGCCGATCTGCAGATATAACAAAAAAGAGCAAATCGGCACGAGGCACAAATTCCTCTGTCAGGCGTTGTTGCCTTTGAAGAATCACATTTGTCCCTGGTGTATCAACAATATTCATCTGCTCTCAAGAGGAATTATTAAAAATTAGTCATGAATAATAAAACTATAAGGGCATTCAGACCTATTCCCAGGAAAAAAAAGAAAAAAAAAAATGGGGAAAGCAGGCAACAGTTATCAGCTATCTACATTTTGTCTATTTTCACCGAACTTTTCAATTTATCAATCTTCCCTGTCACTGATTTTCATCTGATATGCTCTACCTAAATGATCTTCAGCACACATCTCAAATTTTCATTAGTATTATGGGTTGCAGGCTCGCTTTTAAGCACCTAGCATTATGAAACCTGTGCCTAATTCTCTTTCATTGAGTAAAACAGCTATTGATTCACTTCAATGTGAATAATAGAACTCTTCACAATGTTTAATCACAATTGCATGCCGTATCCAAGAATCACGCACAATCAATCAAAACAGATTCTAGAACTTTTAATTCAGAAGGATAATGAGGAAAAGCCAAATGGACTCACTTCCTTAAGGATTGGAGCAGGAAGGTAGCATATTAGTTGCCCGTCTGGGTGCCTTTCACAACGCTGAATGTCCTTGCCATCCAACTCAGAGTAGCACAAGAAAGTGATTTCATTAGTTGTAGGAATAACCCCCTCGGCGAGGTATCTTTCCCCAAGAAGAGCATTAATGACAGTAGATTTACCAGAATTGAACTCGCCCTGAGAATCCAATATATATTATATCATATTTATTATATATATGTGTCATGGCAAAGCCAAAAAATTTACAGGATCAGGCAAAATTCTTATGCATGAAATAAACCAACAATTTCCATACAATGGTTAATTTCTCACTGCAGAACATATCTCTTTTCATTGATTAATATAATGCCAACAATGATCTTTAAGATTATGATTAGGGAACATTTATAACGAAACAGTAAGAAAGATAAACCCGTACACAAATACCATGAAACAAGTAATCAATTAATTCAAACAAAAAAATACTAATATAAGATTCTAAGATTGAGTAGAGACATTCCGTCAAATATGACCGAAAAGTATAATTATCATTAAAACTGCAAATAGAATGTAACTAAATAAGAATTAAGTTCAAGAACTCAACATAGAAAGGAAACTTGCAACAAGAAAAGCCCCGGTAAAGGACTAATGTATGGTGGAGCTGATTCGACTGCCATCAAAAGTAAGAGACATAAGCATAGCAGAAAAGGAGCACAAGGTTAACGTAGTTGATTCCTAGTGGTATTGCATTTAATCTAACTACCTATATGACATGAACACGTTTTCTGACGCCACTGTGAGAACTAATGAGATGTATGGGGTAGCATACGAACCAAGACTGATGACAAGCTTAAGAATTCCTTCATTTTATATTTCTCTAAATCAAAAGTGAATTGAAGATAAATAGTCATTCTATGGGTATATGTTTTCAAATAAAGAGATGGGTTTTCATTTGAAATGTAGAGCTAATACCAATGTAATTCCAGCAACCAGAGTTTGTTGAAGTTCAGCACACAATTACCACTATAGCCAGAAGAAATGGCTTGTCAATTTGAGCAACAGCATCGATAAGAAGTGAAATCTCCTCCATCTGTCATTTAAAACAAACAAGAGATTCAACCAAAAAAGTAAACTAAATAATTGATAATCTCATATCCTTTAGAGAAAATAACTTCAACTACCAAAGCTTAATTAAATGATCACCAGAGGTGCAGCTTTCTGGAAGACATTTATTGTTTCAGTTAACACTGATCTCTCCTTCTCGATAAGTTGCTTCTCTCTATCCTCCACATTAATGAAACCCGCCACACCCGTTTCCTGGTGAGAGTCGTGAACGATGTACGCCATTTTCAGTTCATTGAAGCTCTCATCCTGAGGTTTGTAATTTGTTGTATAGACAATGTTAAAAAGCTGGCCCAGAACATCATCAGTAAACAACCTCAAATCTTCCAATGACAAAACTACACCACTAGCACCTGATTTGAGAATGTTCGACAACTCGGCATATGATGGAACCTCTGCTTGCGAATTATTATTAACTATAAATATCGGTATCTTCACATTCTCATAAACAGACTTCATCGTCATATCAGCATGCTCTTCTTGACCCACATCATATATAAGAAAATCAGCACCTTCAGAACTTGAAGCATTTAAAGCAGCATCTGAAGATTGCACGGTCCTAGCAACCACAGGTAGAAAGATAGAATCCGATTTCGATTCCATCATTGTGTTTCTTGCCACAATGGCAGGGAGGCCTGTAAAAGAAACAAATACAACGATGTAGGATATAAATATAAATATAATTTTTCAACAGCTTTAATATTGGATAAATTTCATTACTTTAGACTATCTAGTTAGAAGAAAAAGGGAAGGACGAACCAACCTTGATCGGAGAGGACCACGCCACTAGCACCAACGGCGGCGGCAATGTCAACGCGCTCCGTGATCAAAAGATAAGCGCGGTCTTTAACAACCGCTTTTACCGAACGGGCAGCTTCATAAACCGTGCCACCGCTTCCTTTATCACCATTGAGCACTACAAGACCAACCCATTTCGAGACAGCCTTGTCAATGAAAGCCAGTGCATTATCGTCAGCCAAGACCTCATCGGGGTCCAACTGCAGAACGAAATTCGGGACCTTAATCTCTGGACGCTTGTAGCCGCCGGGGAATAGAGTTCTGGGAGGCTGCTGGTTTTGAAGGCCTTGGGGACCAAGTTGCTGTGAAGTTAAGCTGAAAGAGTTTTTGGAAAGGGAGGATTTCGTCTGAGGAAAACGGCGGAAAGGGGATTTAGTAAGGCGAGAAAAGAAAGGAGGAGATGGGGGTGAAGTGGAGAAGGGCGGCGGAGGGAGAGGCCGGGTACTGGAGGGAAAGGAAAGGGGTCATCGAAAACAAAAAGAGGAAACTTTTTGTTGTACCAAGTAATTTGGTTATGGAGGCAGAGAATAGAAAAAAGCAGAGAGAGTCGAGCAGTGACGGGTAAGAGATGAGTTATGTTCATCTTCTTATCCTTTGGGAATTTAAGTGATACCGATGAATCCACCTCCGATTTGCTAAAGTTAAAAATCTAAAAGATAAGTAATCTGACGGTCGATATGCTAAGAAACCTCAATGGGCAGCATTAGACTATTGTCAAAAGTTGGGAACTTTTCAAAGTCAAAATACATCACTCGCCTCAATTCAAAAGCATGAAGGTTCCACCGCCAATCCATGGTAAAAGTAAACTCAATTTCAACTTATTGCTGTTATTTTATATAAACCGGTGACCAAAATAAGACAAATAGAAAATAAAAGTGATCACCTTTGTAGTTTACCCTATGAATAAATAAACATTTTGTTAACAAAAGTTCATTTTTGCTAAGAAATTTGTGGGTGTTTTCTTGAGTTTTTTTTAGTGCTGATATTCACTTTCAGTGGTAGTGGGCTTAGGCAGAGAAAGGATGGAAAACTTCTGCAGAAACAAGATTTATAAATATATATTATTTGAGATTAAAGGACACTGATAGATATCTCTTACCAAGATTGATGGAAGGGAAAGCATAATATACAAAACTTGAAACAGTATAAATAACCAAGATCATTGCTTCATTTTCCTGGTTTGCATGAGACCTGATGCTGTTGCTCTTCATCAAAGTACTCATCAAGAGAAGTGGACAAGCCAAGGATATCTGCTCGAGGTGTTCGAGTAATCTGTCGGTACTTATCAGCACCAACAATACCACCTTCTTCTCCTTCATTGATTTCCTCTTCTTCTGCAATGGGAGATGAAAAATCCAAGCACGTTCCTCTCAACACTTCTTCATACGATGCGGATAGATCTTGGGAAGTCGTTTGATGGTACTCCACAAGCTGGTGAAGGCATTGGTTTTCCCTCACCAGATTTGCATTCTCATTCGCAAGCCTTGATTTCTCTGCAAGCAGTGCTTCCAGTTGAAGCCTCACCAGATCGTCTTCCTCGGGTCGGACCCCCTTGGTGAACCCGTCTCGGAGCCTCCTGTTCTCTTCCTCGAGCAGACTGCAACGCTCTTGCATGAAAAATAAATCATTATTTATTGACTTCAACTCTCTGGCGAGTGAAGCTGCCTTGGTTGCCATGCAAATCGCAAGCTGTACAGATGGAAAGAACAAAAGGGTTACAAATTTGAGAGCTTGGTCGATGAACAAGTAAAAAGAAAAAAGAACTTTTACATTTTTGGCTTTCTTCATCATCTTGTTGTTCTTGGGGCTTTGCTCGTTCTCCTTTTGTGAACCATTATCATCCGAGCTCTCACTGTGGTCAAATTTCCTCTTCAGACCGATCTTACCCTCTTCTCCGACTTCGAATTCTTCCTCTTTTGGCTCTGAATTCTTGAGGTTACTATGAAATATATCGGTCAACGTTGGAGGTTTAGCTAGCTCTCTAGCTCCCTTAAAAAAACAGAACAAAAGTTTCAGCAAGTCTGCAAATTTGAGCTACTAAATCTAATGTCATAAACAGAATTTAAAGAGCGTTTTTGCTTTAAATTTACCTGGAGAGCATTGTCGAGGTTATTCGATAGCTGAGAGAGAGTATGTGTGATGGAATCAAAGCCTCTAAGCAAAAGCAATGAATCCTCTTTCAATCGCTTAGCTCTGTTGGATTCTCTTGGATTCTGCAACCAAAAATAAACATTAGATCAAAATTTTCACAGCGTATCAAATTAGCTTCACAAAGATGAAAATAGAACATAAAGAAAACTCACAATCTCTTTAAGCAAAGAAGGATCGACATTTCGGTCACCGAAGAGTGCATCGACGCGGCCACGGAGGATGCCCCAGAAACGCTTTTCGGAAGCCGGGCTGAAGAGTGGAGATGGAGAAGAAGCCATTAAAGTAGTAGGCTCCTGCAAAATGTACGTATTCAAATGATGTCTTAGAATAAAAGAGAGAGAAAACAAGAACAGACCATTAAAACTAAGAGGAAGAAGAATAAAGGGTAAAAAAGAGAAAAGAACCTTGGTAAGAGGAAGTGGAGGAGTATCAACAGATAGTGAAGCAGTAACCATAGCTATGGAGAGAAAAGCAAAAAGAAAATCAAAGAAGGGAGAAAAAGCCAAGGAGTAACGGCTAAGTTTGATGCTGGGAATTTAAAAGAGTGCGCCTTTCGGGGCCAACGTTCATAAGTCTAATCTGAAATAAATAAATAAATTTTGGTGTTATCATATACATTATCCTATTAAAATTAATAAATAAATATTTATGATTTTTCTTTTTCAAATATTAATATACTAAATAATATTTAATGAAATTTTTTTTAATATATATATAACTTAAAAGTGAATTATTCAAAATTCAATTTTTTAGAAAAGCAAAATTTTAATTATTAATTTAAATTTGTTTGTTATTATTTTTTAGGTTAAAATATGCAAATGGTCCTGATCATAGGACGATGCTTGGTTGAGTAATCGACTATTGAAATTTTCAATATTATTTTTTGTTTATTAAATGTTGCTATACTTAGTCTCTTGACTATTAAAAATTACAAATTAGTCAAACAACTATTCATATTTCATTTTCTGTTAAAAAATTGATGATCGTTTAAGCTGGACATTATCATGTTGATTGGGATATGACAGAATCATTTTTAATGATGTATACTGGCACATTGTTGCTTTCAAGCACTGGTTCGACAACATAATATTTTAAGCACTAACTCAACACCATAATGTTAACAGAGACTTGATCCATAAAATACAACTCAAACAGTTTTACGATCAGATTTTATCGTATCCTAGTGAGTAGATTAACGTCCAACTCAGAAGTTCATCAATTTTTTATGAAAAATGACAAGTTTGGAACATATAAATAGTCAGGTGATCATTTTGTAATTTTTAATAGTCATGAGACTCAACAAAGTAATATCATATAGTCGGAGGACCATTTTATAACTCTCAATAGTCTGAATACTCAACAAAATAGTATCCTATAATCGAAAAACCATTTATATATTTTACTCTAATTTTTAATCAAATCATGATTTCATTTTTAATATGTTTATTTGCATTTATTGAAGTAAACACATCATAAATTAACAAAAAGTAATTTTATCATATCATTGATAAATGTTTATTATAAAATAAATGGTAAACTATACGGGTGGCGACTCAACTATGGTCAAAAATCATTTTTACCACCGATGTTTCAATTTGATCAATCAGACCATCCAACTATTTAAATGCTTCAATCAAGCAATATGTCGTTAACATTTAACGGAGTAGGTGACGTGACAGTTAAAATATTTTGGTATAATTACACAATTGGTCCATGTTACGTATATATCCTTTCAATTTAGTCTTAATTATAATAAATTAAAATAAATTTAATCCTTAAATTAGGAGGTGTCATGTGTCATTGGTGACACATGTCACGACACCCTCTGATTGGTAGAAAATAAATATGCACAACAAGAAGGGGCAAAGGAAATTTAACCTAGAACCATTGGTTGAAATAGAAGGAGCGAAACCATTGAGCCAAGGCAATTATTTAGAATGCTTTTGACAACAAATGATATATATATATATAGTACCTTAGTATATAAATGTTTTGCTCAAAATTAATAATATTTTATATATCTTAAATTTTAAAATTATCTTTTATTTTTTTTTAACTTATTAAATATATTTTATTTTTATTTTAATGTAAAAATATATATTTAAATATCTTAGATATTTTATATTAAATTAAGAATAAAATATATTTTTAAGTGAAGATAATAGTAAAATATATATTTTTATATTAAAATAAAATTAAGTATATTTAATAAGTTAAAATAAAAAAAATAAATTTAAAATTTAAGATATATAAAATATTATTAATTTTGAGTAAATCATTTACATACTAAGTTACAATATATATATATATATATATATCATTTGTTGTAAAAAACATTCCAAATGATTATCTTGGTTTAATGGTTTGGCTCCTTCTATTCTAACCAATGGTCTCAGGTTTCCCTTGCGCCCCTTCTTGTTATGCAGATTTATTTTCTTTTAAACAGAAGTGACATGTGTCACCTTCTGATGTCACTCTTTGATTGATGGAAAATAAATCTATTAAATTAAAATAAATTTAGGTATCTGATCTAATGATGACACCTGTCATGATAGGTGTCACTAATAACACACGATAACTCTTAATTCGAGGATTAAATTTATTTTAATTTTTTAAAATTAAGATCAAATTGAAAAAATATATAAGTAACAGGGACCAATTGTGTAATTATACTAAAATATTTTAACTGCCACGTCATCTACTCCGTTAAATGTTAACGGTAGGTGTCTTGATTGAAGCATTTAAATAATTTGGTGGTCTGAATGATCAAGTTGAAACATCGATGGTCAAAATGATATTTGATCATAGTTAAGTGATCACCTATGTAGTTTACCCTAAAATAAACACTAAGCCATTATCGTAAATTGAGATGACATGACACATTAAAATCAATGGATAATATCTTATTCACTCTTTTATTATAACTAAAATTTTATTTTAGTATTTCTATAATATTTTTAAGTGATAACTTCAATAAATTGTAAAAGTATAATATTTAACACTCATTTTGATTTAAAAAATAGACAACTAAAATAAACATGGGGTATAATTTTTTAAAAAAAAATCAATCAAGTCATAACATAAATACATCTAAATTAATTAAATCATTAATATATAAAATAATAATATTTTTTTATAACTTTTGATATAATTTCGGATTAAAAAATACTTAGATTTACCAAAAAAATAATGAACTAAAAACCTCACTAGCAGTAATATTTTGATGCTTCAAACTTCACAAAAATCAGATGAATAGAAATTTTCAGATACGAGAAAATGCAAGGGGACCAATCAACAGCCGTGACCTTAAGATAAAGCCTTAACCATCATCCACGAAAATTGCTCGTCAGAAGCAAGCACTAAACATCATTTCAATGGCTGCCCTTTCTTCCTCCTCTCTCCTCTCCACCTTCCAAGCTTCCTTCACCTTCTCTCTATCCTCTTCCTCGCTCATCTCTTCCCACTTCTTTTCTCTCTTCTTCTTCTCTTTCAGTGTCTCCTTCCTCCCTTACCTACCCCACAATCTCTAGACACTATACCGCTTATTCTTTCACTGTCAGGGCCGCTGCTGCAGACAAGAAGAAGGTCCTCATACTTAATACAAACAGTGGTGGCCATGCAGTCATTGGTTTCTACTTTGCCAAACAACTTCTGGGTTATGGCCATGAGGTCACCATCATGACCGTTGGAGATGAGGGCTCAGATAAAATTAAGAAGCCACCTTTTAACAGATTCTCTGTAAGATCAAATATTATTGCTTTTTGTATTTTGTATTTTTGTTTATCATTGGTTTCTGATTGGAAGTTCTTTTGTTGCTACTTTTTGTATGGGGTATGAGAATGTTTATAGGAAATTACGAGTGCTGGAGGGAAGACCGTGTGGGGTGACCCTGCAGATGTTGGGAATGTTGTTGCAGGGGCAACATTTGATGTGGTGTTGGATAACAATGGCAAGGACTTAGATACCGTCAGGTTTGTTGCATAAATTATGGCTCGAAATTCAAGTATCACAAGAGAAGCTTGTGTTTACAACACCATCATTACTCTCTTCTCGAAAGACATGTATGAGTGAACTCTCTTCTCGAAAGACATGTATGAGTGAACGTGAATAATTGTTCCGGTTCTATTTTGAGAAGAGAGCAATGGCACGCATACATGAGCGTATATAGAGTGCAAATTGAGTAACTTGAGAAAACATGAAAGAAAAGCATAATCAAGAATGAAAGAAAGAAACTGCGTATACCTGCATGTAATGTGAATATAGCAGTTCATTCTAATTTCAATCTTCTCCGCATAGGCCGGTGATAGATTGGGCAAAGAGTTCTGGAGTAAAGCAATTCTTGTTCATCAGTAGTGCTGGAATCTATAAGCCAACCGACGAGCCTCCTCATGTCGAAGGGGTATACATATAACAATATGTGAATGTATATAATGTTATCCCAAGCATGAATAAACAAATACATCCATAGTTTAAGCAAAATCTTCACTATTGCAGGATGTTGTTAAAGCTGATGCTGGTCATGTTGGAGTCGAGAAATACATTGCAGAAGTTTTCAGTAGTTGGGCTATATTCCGACCACAATACATGATCGGATCTGGAAACAACAAAGACTGCGAGTGGTTCTTCGATCGTAAGTGAAGCCATACTTTCAACTTATCCATAGAACTTCACCATCAGATATTGATATGGATGACATTTTCTTGCAATAGGAATTGTTAGAAATAGACCAGTGCCAATCCCAGGCTCAGGGATGCAACTTACAAACATTGCCCACGTTAGGGACCTATCCTCTATGCTTACCCTAGCTGTTGAAAATCCGGAAGCAGCATGTTGTAACATCTTCAATTGTGTGAGCGACTGTGCAGTGACTCTCGATGGAATGGCTAGATTATGTGCTAAGCTGCAGACTTACCGGTAGAGATTGTTCATTATGATCCAAAAGATGTTGGAATCGATGCGAAGAAAGCTTTTCCTTTCCGTAATACACTAATATGGTAGAGCCTTCGAGCATATATATGATTTCACTGCAATATGTGCACAGGATAGACATAAACTTTATGTTATCTTTGTCTTGAATCAACCGATTAGATGATAAATGCTGAAGTCTATAGAGTCCACTAACCCTGATGGAAAATTGATGTTAACTGTATAATCAGCATTATCCTTCTTATGTGCAGCACTTCTACACCGAACCAAGAGCTGCAAAGGACATATTAGGGTTAGGGTAGAAGGGCACCACAAATCTGCCGGAAGACTTAAAGGAGCGATTTGAGGAGTATGTAAAGATCGGGCGTGACAAGAAACCTATGCAGTTTGATATAGATGATAAGATTCTAGAGGCACTTAAAGTTCCGGTAGCAGTTTGATCAACCACATTCAGGTGGCATTCCAAAGTTTTGAACTCGTACGAGTCCACTCTGCAATACAGTATGAGGAAGTTCGTTCTGTTTCTCTTTCCCCTGCATGTTATCTCTCATAATTCATTCC